CCACTTCGTTGACTGACACTATTCGGAGGCAGAGTTAAATATGTGTCTGGTCACGAGATAGGCAAAACACTGTATTTCTGCAAAGTCTATTTCCCTCTCCCCATCCAGACTTGATCTCAGCCAGAGAGGAGAAAAATGGGATTTCTTCAAAGTGGGGAGTGGCATGTACTTGCAGTACGCTGCCACATTTCCAACCAGCCCATGGCATTGCTCTCATTACACAGCAGATATGGCTTTTTTTTCTTTCTCTTCCCTCCCTCTTCCCTCCATCTAACCACTTTTTTGATCAGTTGAACTGATTAGGCCAACAAAACGCTAGTTCAGGTGTCCTTCAGAGGCTACGCAGCCGTGACAAACGTATGCACTGAATCTGCTAACGCCAGGGCTTAGGCTGACAGAGATCTCCATGCTTTCTGCCCCTCACATCTTTCTCCCAGGAAGGATTTCTCCAGAAAGCTTGTTGTCGTCTTACGCCGCCCCTCAAGTACTTCATTGCACTCCTCAAAACTGTACTTTCCGAGAAGAGCTGACAACAGCGCGTAGACTGTCACGTAGGTCTGTCATGGTGCCTGAACTGTTGTCCTGTCTGGTTTGACTGTTCTGGTCTGTTGTCTCTGGTTGTAAGCTTAACTGCTCGGTCCCGAGAGGTGGGGACCTTCTGTCTTGTGTCTGTACAGCACATATCACTGTGGTGTCCTGTGTCCATCGCTTCAGGTTTCTGAAAATGCATGCAATCTGATTGCTCCTAATTGCTCTTCTCCATTTCTAATGTTTAATCATATTTTGTGTAATCCTACTCCCGCTGCCTGAATGAGTATGAAATTATACTCAGAGCAGCAAAATCTGCAGGGATGGGGAACAAAAACTTTTCCTTGGCTTCTCATTAATTTGGGGGACTACAGTGTGTCTCGTCAAGGGCTCCTACACAGGACTTTTGTGCCCTAGGTCTATGAAAGTGCTATAGCCATCCTATAACAGGCCACTCAAACCTACCACCCCTAAAGATTTCTTCTGCTTCACCCCCAAGTGGGCAGCCCCTTCGTGTAGCACATACGGATAGCAAAAGTTCCCAGCCAGATCTGCCTTTCCTATATCTCTCCCCAAGCACAAAACAGCCACCTTGAGACGGTACTGAGAGCCATAGTCTTGGTCCTGTGCTGGTGCTTCCTGAGGCAGATATGAACCTGTTAGATAAAGTCAGTGGTTATAACCGCAGTGTTAAAAAAAGATCCTGTGTCGCTGAGTATTTGGTGGTTGCTCTGTGGTGAAGAGAAAGCTGTGCAGTTCAGGATGTGTTTTAGTAGCAGTGCAAGTACATACCCGAACTGAATGTGCCAGGAAAAGATACAAACGGTTCCGTGACAATAGCTCAAAAGAAACTTGAAAAGATACTAATGCCTCTGCGTTGTCAGAGAGAGAAAAATGGGGCGTACTGGAGTGTGGATGGACAGGCCGTATGTGCAGCGTTACTGGTTTGGTGGGATGCTGAGAGTTCGCTCCCTGTAAAATGTCTTTTCAGCATCTCTTCGTTCTGGTGTTGCGTGAACGCACTCCCAAAGGGCTGGGCAGACTGAGCACAGCTTGCCATCACTCCTAGAAAGTCGCTGTTCGGGCCCCGAGGATGTGCTGCCCTCGCAGGGCGCATCCTCGCTCGCCCTCCTCTGAAGTGACACACGGCTCCCCGGGGGAGGCAAGTTCACGTTCACGGTGGCTCTGTGGAAACGGCCAGGGTTAACCGACCTCCGTGAGGGTCTGCCTGAAAAAACTGTTCCCAGCCCAGCGGCTCAGGAGCCCTTTGAGGACAGCAGGTTCCTGCCCCCAGTCCCCTCGAGCTGAGGTGGGGGGAGTTTATGACAAAGCAAAGGGGCCCCAGAGGAGCCGGTTCCTGGAATCTCCATTTGTCTTGCCTCACTCTATGAATTGGTAAGATTTGTTCTTTTTAAAGCCACCTTTCGTGCTGTACACAAAATAAGCTCCCTATGTGACACCTCCCCTTTCAGTTTCAGGGTTCCCTCAGGCCCACGTGGTCGTTATTTTACTCCCTCTTCACCTGCTCTCTACTTAAAAAGTACCACAATAATTCCCACCCCCCAGCCTCCACAAACACGCGTGCACCAGTGTACCCCAGTGTTTCTGCCAGGATCTCAGTTCTGTTTCCACGCCAAAGGCTCTCTGTCCATACCACTTTCCCTTGCCATCTACCCTCCCACCCGGCACAAGGATTTTGTCTTCTCATTTTTCCTGCTCATGGCTCAGTTGTCCCTAATTTCCCTACATTAAGAACTTTATGCTCTTTTTTTTTCTTTCTTTTCAGTTCAAATTCCCCCCACCTCCTTCCCTCCCTACCTCTAGTGCTTCGTTCATATCCATTCCCCCACGATTGCTGTTTTTTTTTTCTGTCTGTGAGAGGAATTATTCCAGAGTGTGGGTGTGTCCCAGCTGTATTGAAAGGGCAAACAGAGAGGATGGATGGGCACTGTTATCTTAGAAGGTGTTAATGGATTTGTGGTTCACTACACACTTAGAAAAGTGCCTGGGACTGTAGTTCTGACACACATAGGGAAAAGGCTCTCCATTCTCTTCAGTTTTTCTTCCTTATTCATTAATAATTATTTACTAAAATCAAGAGAGTTCTGCCCACTTGTGCCAAGAATACTCCCTGGAACTCAAGAAATAAATGGAAACTGTGTTCAGAAGTTACTACTTTAGAGAAGACAGAGGTACCATGAGGCTGAGTGTAGGGCCCACAAACTCAGTCCGTAACTTGTACAAAACGGGAGAGAACACAGCGTCTAGCAAATATGATAATGGAAATTATTAAAAGATGTTTTGACACTGAAGAACATGTCTTTATGTCTCCTAAACCAAAACAAGGCGATAGCCCCCATGCATACTGAGAAAAGCATGATATGCCAAACCATGTCTACCCTTTTTTTTTGAATAAAATACTTACCACCTTCTTCTTAATTTTGCTTTAAAACTAGCATGAAAATTGTCTTAATCTCCACACTCCCAATCTCATTAAGATGTTGATTTCTCTAGCTCTTCTTCTTCTGTTTTAATTCATTTTTGGCTCCTTCTCTGTCATTCCTGGTTTGTATTTATTTGTGTTTGTTCTTGTTTTTCAAATATGGGACCTGCATCTATTGTCTTTACTCAGGCGATTCTTTATTGAAAGCAAATGACAATCTTACTGGAAAAAAGGCAACAGAAATGATCCACGGCTTTCATATTAGGATCTTGCTTCTGTGGCAAGCTGCATGCTGGTAGACATATTTACCAATATACAAGCAGTCTCAGATTTGGTCACAGATGACCCATTAAATACTATGTCTCCATTTATAATCTATGTAAGGAATTTATTGTTCACAAAGTTTTCTATTTTTAACCTATTTTTAAGATGGTTTCCACTCGGAAGGGACTTTATTTAGAAATCTAATTCTTGTGCCATGAATTATTGAAGACTGAAGGAAAAATAACTGGTTTGTTGGCAAGGTACATATGTAAAAACATTGACCCATGCCTTTGACTCATGATGGCTTCTTGTCAATCACCTGAATGATGCAATTTGTGCTAAAACCACTGTATTCTTCTCTGTTGCTTCCAGAAATGGCCAGGTGTTTCTTGGTACATAAATTTCATTAATCTTGAAAGGGGATTGTAAACTCCTTTTTTAGCAGAGTGAAGATGGATGATTTATGTCTAAGGCAATTAAGACTTATAATTGCACATCTCCCATCAATGGCAATATCACTTTTGACTTCAGTAACTACAGAACGAAGTCATAGGCAGGAAGACAGATCTTTTTTTTTTTTTTTTTTGTCTAACCGTCCCCAGAGGAGATAGTTGAGAAATTGTTTTTAGATTGAGACTATGGTTTTCTCTCTGAGTCTTGGCATTTCCTTAGAAATTACCATTACCTTTATTTTTCCTGCATAAATTTATCTCCCCAGTGCAGTCTGAGCCATCCTGAACCAGTAGGTAGTCACCTTGCTACAGCTTGTTTTACCCTGGGCTGGTGCAGTCAGTGATGTATTATGCTGAAGAAGTTCATAACAACAGACCGCAGCGATTTCCTGAGAAACTATTAAATATTTCTTTCAGCTTTTTCAGTGTTTCATTCTCGTAATCGTATCACTAGCCCACTAACCAGCCTCAAAAATATAAAGGAAACTCAATTTGTTAGCTCTATATCTTTAAATAATCCTGAAAAGAAAAATGTTGGGGAAAACTGTATGTTATTGATCTTTTTGTCTCTATAATCAGGCAAAAGATAAGGCTTTCTGAGGAGTAAACATCTTTCCAGAAATCCATTCAGGATTTGAGAATGCAGTCTTTTAGTAAATTTTCCTGAAGGAAGTTTTAGAATAGGTTTAAATTATTGCCACATACAAAACTCTCGTTGGCCCAGGGTCAGTACTTAAGCAGCAGTATGCTGCAGCCCACTCCCTTCCCTTCCCTTCCCTTCCCTTCCCTTCCCTTCCCTTCCCTTCCCTTCCCTTCCCTTCCCTTCCCTTCCCTTCCCTTCCCTTCCCTTCCCTTCCCTTCCCTTCCCTTCCCTTCCCTTCCCTTCCCTTCCCTTCCCTTCCCTTCCCTTCCCTTCCCCTTCCCCTTCCCCTTCCCCTTCCCCTTCCCCTTCCCCTTCCCCTTCCCCTTCCCCTTCCCCTTCCCCTTCCCCTTCCCCTTCCCCTTCCCCTTCCCCTTCCCTTCCTTTCCCCTTCCCTTCCCTGGAAAGTCTGGGCTATACAATGGGAACAAGTCATACGCTGGGGATGCATGCTTATTGCTCTGCTTTACTAGAATTACCGTATCATGAAGGAAACCTCCCTCATGCCGAGCATTCCTGGGGAAATCCTTCCTTGTTCTTAATAAGTCAGGTGATCTTACTGAAATTACACATGTTTTTTAAAATATATAAAATGGGGTAGGCTATTTGACAAGTCTGTAAATGGAGTAGAAAGGTAACTAAATGTCCAAGCATCTTGAAAAACATATCTCACCTCAATTGCAAAAGTAGGAATACCTCTGACTACTGCCGTGGGACAACTGGTGGATCCCATCCTCTGTTACTAGTATTCTGCAGCCCTTCTTAATTTATGTTACTGCTCCTTCTGTCTTTCCAGGATGCTCAACCTGCCAGGAAACAAAGAGAGAAAAAAACTTGAGGAGCACAGAGATCTCAGCATCTGAGCCATTTTACACCTCCCCCCCAACATCTTAATTACCAGGCTGACAATGTCAGTTGTTCTGACATTAAGAGTGAGGTTTCGTACTCCATCTAAAGCAAAGTGACTGCGCTGCTGCCTGCAAGGAGACCTTTCACTGCTCCTTCTCCTTCCTCCCATCAGCGAGCTCTGGTTGCTTCCTTGGAGGCAACTCTAGGGATAGTGCAACTGAACAGTGAGTGGCTCTGAGCTGATCCAGCGCAAGCTCATCCACCAAGCAAGCGCAGTAATAAAAAAAAGAATAATTTTACTCTTGGATCCAGTTTATCTATGACCACAACATGTCCTGACTCGTAGGAAGCAATGGGGGTGCCACTGTAGCAGATACATGCAGTTGTCCAAAACTCAGTGTATCATGAAACTTTTCTCCTGAAGGTACCAGGTGATGCTTTAAATAGCCTGGGTGCAGCCGCTGACCTGCTGTTGGGAAGGTTTGTCTTAGGTGTGGCAGAGCAGCTGGCAGAGAAATTAACCCTTCAACAAAAGACATCAAGTTTGCTGTTCCCTGAGCGGTGGTGTGAGCCAACCACACTGAAACCTTTTTAAACAGGGTAGAGCCTTTCATGCTTTCTATTGTGTAACTAATGCAGCCTTGCAGAAGTTTATCCTAAAAACCACCAGTTGCTAGGTAGAATAATATGACAGCATCAGGCTGGAAAGGTCAGTTCCTTACTTTTTTGCCAAATGCTGGTAAGCATAGAAGAGATTTGAAAATCAACAGAGCTGACAAAAGCTCTAGGGAGGGAAAAAAAAAAAAAAACAAAACAAAAATCAAAACCAACCAACCAAAAGACCTTGACTAATAGAAATTTTGTCAAATTCAGTAAATGACAATTTTGTTGCAATCCCACACCGCTGACATTCCACTCCCCTGCTTGCTTCAAACCCCCAAATGAACAGCAAGGATGCTCTCGGAATGGTTTGTACCACAAGAGTGCCTCAGGGCACTGAGCTAGTTGGCATCTGTCAGAAAGCACTGCCTGCACGCTCACACCACGTCTACGGAAAGACAATTGTGGGTCCAGAAAAAAGCCCTGGGAATACAGTGATATACAGCAAATGGGGGGAAAAGGGGTGAAAACAAGGGTGCAGAGCAATGGTAAGATGATTTGGACTAGCGAGGCGAGCAGCCTGTCGCTTCACCTCAGCAGAACTCTCGTTTTATCCGCACATTGGTGCTCAGGAGTCCCAGGACCGCAGAGGAACAGCAGCAGTAGGGTCTTGTTGGAGAATGGCTCAGAGACAAGGGTCCTGTGCCTTTAGCCAGTAGACTGTAAGCCTGCATACCTGAGTTGTGCCTTGTCATGTATTAAGAAAATCTTTGAACGAACGTTAGCGCAGGCTCTGCTCATACAAAAAGAAAAAGGGGGAATTGTTGGAGAATGGCTCAGAGACAAGGGTCCTGAGCCCACCGAGCAATTGTATGATCAGAGCCTGTTCTAGGGGCTGATGCTGGGCCTCACTAGGGTTTGCCTGCAGCTGCTCGCAGCTGCTGATACAGGAGGAATGTCAAGGACGCTTCAGCCCTGTGTACCGTGGTGTGTCGAAAACAGGTTAAGGGGAATTAGGAATAGTGGTCTGAGAAACCCAGTGTTATGGTAACGGTGGTCTGAGAAACATTGTGTTACGGTACCGTCGTGTATCGAAAACAAGTCAACAGGAATCAGAAATAGTAGCATGAGAAACTTAGTGTTATGAGAAGCTTGGGCTGTAAGCTAACTGCAAGTAGGTGGACCGTGCGAATACGACCCTTAGAGCTTAAGCCAATCAGCTAGTGACTAGTAGGCATAATAATTATCATTGTCTGTATAAATATATGTACCCTGGACCAATAAACACACACGTTGATTGATGCTCTATCTCCCACACTGAACCCGTCTCGGCGTGTCGTTTGTCCGCGGCTCCGCAGGGTCTCAGAGTGTGGGTCCATCCAGCAGACTTCAGCTGTGGCTTCGTCTTCTCCTCTGCATAGACACTCTTTGCCCTAAGGAAGAGCAATCCTATAGCATTGAGTGCAGATATGTGAGATCCTAGTGATCTTGGCTGGGAAGTGTGAGATAAGGGAAACTTTCAAAATCTGTGGTGACCCAGCTGCCACAGATGTGATTCTTCCGTTGGGCGATGAACACACCTAACTTTAGCAATATTTTGGTTTTTTGATGGACAGGACAGCTTCTTCCACGTGTGGGGGACCCAGAGCCAAAGAAAATAAAGTTTGCAGCAGTGATGATCTGTAGGACCTGGCATGAGATCTAACAGTCAATATGGACAGGGCCACACACCAGCCAGGGAAGGTTTGGAAGGCCAAGTGAGGAAGTTTGTGTTTGATGTAGCAGAAAAGGAGACAAAAGGAGAGGTACAACAAATTCCCCAGGCCTAAACAGAAATTTGAGACTATGACACTCTATGCTGGGATATATTGTAACGGAGCTGAATTAATCTTTAACCTCCTAAAGCAGGTGTCCTGGGGTAAATGAAGCACTTGGACCCAACAATCCTGTCAGTCTTGGGTGGCAATGGACAAAAAAAGGAGTGAAAACATCAGCTTGATAAAGCCTAAAAGACAAAAGGTATTTGCAGCGTATATTTAAGGTATAAAAAGGGGGAAAATGGCATTCTTGGGCTGGTAAGGAGAAGGTAGCAGCTGCTAGGATACTAGAGGACAAGGACTTAAGCACATTTTTTATTTCTGTGAACGGAAATGAGAGAAGAGCTTAAGGGAAAAGAGAGTGAGCCTTCAAAGTTATTCTGGGTCCTTAGCTTCCCTAAGAATTTTTTCTTTCTGTATCTGATTTAGATTATAAAATCCCTGAGGCAGCAATAGTCTTTAATTTGAGTTTTCTTCAGTCCTGGCCAAATCATTGATGCTTAATGAACAAATAAAATGTTGATAAATTAATATAAAGGTTGCCTTCCTGCAGTCTGGCACTTAATAGATGACACCCAGTTAGAACTGAAATAAAAACATTTGTATTGAACCTGAGCACAGGATCAGCTTTAAGAGAGTATGAGAGTCCTTCCACCGCCTTCAAACGAGGCATGGCTCATGTTGCAAACAATTCTTTGAAATGAAGAGCGTGCCACTGGGTACTGTACATGCAGGTACGTTTCTGCATCTTGCACACGGTAATTTCCCACCAGAGAAACTACAGACCCAGTCAGGCAAGCTGCTGTGTTTTGGTGGACCTCGGGGTTCCACGTGGGTGCAGAAGCCAGCCATGCAAAGCAGCTTGCTGGATTATGGCATAATTCATTGCTGTGGTGCCACTTACGCACTCTAATGGGCTTTATTCACAGCAGGGATGACTGAGGTGCCGGGAGGCACAAGCCAAGTTGAAATAGATTTGTCAAGCTTATTTCATGCTTTGTTGTAGTGGCTACATTTTAGACAGATTGTGAAAATCATGTTATTTTTAAGATTTAGATTACATTACTGCCTAGAGGCTAATAAAAATTGGGGATTCTGCTGTAATGGTTGGGTCCCAAAATATGTGAGAACACCAACAGCCTGCAATCCCAACCATCTGCAAGCTAAAGAATAGCGAAGACTTATGTACCATTTGGTTTGCCAACTTCAGCAGGCTCTGGGATATTAAGAAGAATATAGAGGCTGATAAACAGACTCATAAGCCTTTTGACAGGTTTTCTTTCCTATCCTATCCTATTTACAAAAGTAAATGCCATCTTTTCCCTTCTGCTTTAGCCGTCAGGAATTTATGTTGTTCTTTTTGTTTTGAGTTGTTACATGAAAGGTAGATTTTTGAGGTGGTAGCAGATTTAACTTAGGACAAGGCTAAAAAAAAGCTGCCATGGCCATATTCCCCCATCTAACCAAAACAAACAATCTGGAAAAAATTTCCCAGATCGACACATCGAACAATGGTAAAAAAAAATAAATTCCTTTTTGCTGATAAAAGTAGGATTCCCAGTACAGGGATTTGTCACTGGAATTATACAAGTAAAACTACTAGTCTTACCTGCGTACTAACATATCTAAGATTAAGTCTACTCTTAGTACAAGTCCTTGTGAATTAATTCAGGGATTGTGCAAAAGACACAGTGTGACAGTAAGTTTTTTGTGGGCCATTTGGGTAAGAATCTGGTAGATGAGACTTCTCTCACGTGGAGTTGAGGGGGCTGTGTGGAGAAGAAAGGGGGGTGGAAGGCAGAACAGGGCAGAGAGGAAGAGCCAGCCATGGTGTGAAAAGCCTTGAAACAGTGTAAATGGATTTCAACTTCTAGCTAAGAAAGCAAGCTGAAGAAATGTCTGTCACAGAAACAACTTTCACTTGTCTCCTCCCTCCCCCTGCCCCAAGAAATGAGAATGATATACATAGACAGAGATAGATAGATAGATATATATAGACATAAAACTGGGAAGAGTGGTTGAGGGAAAAGTAAGACACACCATATCAAAATGTCATGCAGTTAACAAGAAATGAGAAGAGACAATTAAAAAATACCGTGACACCATATGGAACTTTCCACGTTCAGTTGCATTTAAAAGCTTTATCAGAAAACCTTTAAAAACAATTACATTCTCCTCATCTCAAACTAGTGTCCTTTGTTGGAAGACAATATCCTTATTTAAAACCCCTGCAGTTTTACGTATTTGAATCCACAGATTGTCTAGTACAGGCATTAGAAACTTATGATCCCGGTGCAAGAGACAGCACATAGGCTGATTTTGATTTGTAGGTGGGCAAGCAGAGATACAGCTTGGAACATCCTGGCAGTTTAAGAGAGTCATCAGAAAGAGAAAGCGACTCCCAGTCCTGATGGATGCAATAGCCATTTTCTACTCAGGGTAAATGAGGAATCAATGAAAGTCCCCCCTTTTTAGTGTCAGCTGAAACAATGGCAAAGCTCTGCCCCAGGACACAA